TAAACCCTAAACCCTAAAAAACAAACCCTAAACCCTAAACCCTGAACCCTAAACCCTAAACCGTAACCCTAAAAAAAAATCCTAAACCCTAAACCCTAAACCTAGGCCTGCTTAGCTCTTCTGGGCTTCCTGTGTTGGCTGCGTCGGCGCACCTTGGCTCTGAGTTCAGCCTAAAGGGTTTAAAGGGGTTTAGGGTTTAGGGTTTTAAGGGGTCCTTCCTTTAAGGCTTTAAGGGTCTAGTTCAGGGATCTAGAAGGGTTTTAGGGTTCAGGGTTTAGGGGTTTGGGGTCTAGGGCTTAGGGTTTTTTTTAAGTACCTATAAAGGTTTTAGAAGGTTCTAGGGTTTAGGGCTTAAGGTATTAAAGGGTTCGTTTAAGGGTTCTTTAAAGGCCTCAAGAGTTCCTTCAACCCTAAACCCTAAACCCTAAACCCTATAAAGGCCTCAAGAGTTCCTTCAAGGGTTCTCGGGTTTAGGGCTTCGAGTTGTGGTTGGTAGAGAAGGACGCTGCCACAACTCCTCTTTCGGTGCCTACATCCGAAGCAGCAGCTTCCAGAATGAAAGGAGGTCTCCGAGAACTGTGGCTGGCCAGCGATGATTGCGGACTTTGCCCAGGCTCGAATCAGTTGCCGTGCTGCTTCGGCCCAAACGGCGGGCCTGCGAGGGCGGAAGCTAACGGTCGCTGCGATCTTTGTTGCGCAGCAGCCTTGCAAGCCCTCGACGGCGATCCACGCGGTGAATCCCGAATTACTCATCTCTCTCCTGAAGAACCTCAACGGCAAGCCTCTTCATGGTTATGCTCGCATCGGCATAGCCCTCGGCGAAGCAGGGCGAGACAAGTACAAGTTTCGTCGTGAGAGAGCCACGAAACTGTCCAGCTCGTCCGCAGCTAAAAGACAGATAACAAAGAAGGAGCCTAGCGAGTGAACTACTTTTAGCAGCTGGGGTCTGGGCTGAAATTGTTTTTGTTGGCTGCTGGCTGGGCTGGGCGGGCGGGTGCCTCTCTGTGGGTGTGAGCGCGGCTGGGATTGACTGAAATGCAGGCTGGGCTGAGCTGGGCCTGGGTAGGGTTGAGGGTTGAGGGTTTAGGGTTTAGGGGTTGAGGGTTCCTGAGACTCAGAGAGCTACTTGATCTAAGTTTCCTTTGTGGTGACCACAAAACCTTACTGAAGTATTAGTGGTCCTTTTTTCGTCGTTGACATTGAGGTTTAGGGGTATCTAGGGCTTTAGGGGTTTACGGTGTAGGGTTTGTAGACTTCGGGTTAGCTCGGCAGCTCCCCACTTTAGGGGTCTGAGTACTTCTCTAATGTAGCTTGTTGTATACGTATAATCTGCACCAAAGCTGTTCTAATTATTGTAGGTCTACACATTACCCTCCTCCCTAAACCCTCAAACAAATCCCCGCAGGACTACACAGGAAGTAATTAGCAACGGACCTGCTGCTAGCCCCAGACCCTCCAAAATCCCTGCCGCAAAAAGTATGGTTAGGGTAGTAGGTCAGGACTTGGGGTTGCGGAGTGTGGTTTTGTGCTAGAGCTCTCCTCTCCCAACCTAATAAATTGATGCTCGAATAGGCTGTAAGGTGCAATGAAACCTTGGGCTCTCGACACTAAACTTAAACTCTACGGCCTAAACCCTGCAAGACGAGTCAACCCAACTTGAAAAAAGGCTTACAACCCTGAGCCCTGAACCCTAAACCCTGAACTCTGAACCCTAAACCCTAAATTCTAAACCCTGAACCCTGAAGCCTCACAGCCCGAACACCTGTGAGACGCAAGGAAAGGCTACTTGGGGGTTCATGGGTAGTTATAAGTGGAGTTAAAAGTCTCCTATTTAAGCTATAACTATAGTTACCCTACTTATAACCCTACTTATAACTACCCATGAACCTCCAAGTAGAAGACTTTCCCCCACCGAGGCAGGCAAATCCGGAAGGAGGCCTCCGCCATCCGTTATCGCCAGGACCAGCCTTTGGGGCTTAGGGAGTTTAGGCCTTAGGGTTTAAGGAGTCTTAGGTTTAGGGTTTAGGGTTGAGGTTTAGGGTTTTGGGCTTAGGGTTTAGGGAGTTTTAGGTTTAGGGTTGAGGGTTTAGACGGTTTCGGGTGTCGGTTCTAGGGTTTAGGGTCTAGTTTAGAGCTTTGGCATGGGTTTAGAACTTCACAAACATGAGCCGATTTAGGGGTTTAGGGTTTAGGGTGCTTGGGGTATGTTATACTGTAAGGACAAAAAGGACCCCCCTCCAAAAAAAACTATTCTAATTATCAAGGCCCTGCACTACTTGGAGGTTCATGTGTAGTTATAAGTGGAGTTATAAGTCCCCTAATATAGGTTATAACTATAGTCACCCTACGTATAACCCTACTTATAACTACCC